ACAAATGTGATGTTTACATCGGCGAATTAAATGGCTATAATGTCCGATGCATCTGCATATCATGTCACTTAAATGTGTTAATTGATGTCAATTATCGGCAGTAACTGTGCGTCACTAATTCAGTTTGATTTATGCCTGGAGGCGAGGATTAACTTAATTAACATGCGCTGTATGATATTTTAATGTACATGTGGTCAGTAAAAAAGCGCGGCGAAGTCGTTTTCGCTTTGATGTTCAAACTCAGCGAAGTTCTGAAACTTTAGGCGACTAAGTCGCCCAAATCGCCCAGTTGCTAGAGCCCTGATTTAGATCTATAATAAACATCTATAATGAAAAAGATTTTTTTGTTTATGTTTTCACTTTATTATACACATTACATATCATACACATAAAACAACAACTTTATTAAATTATAAACAACTAAAATGACTGTAGTTAAAGATTGATATGAAAATGATAAAACTTTATAGAATAAAAAGCACATACAATGATAGGACTTTTAAAAGTTAAATCTTTAAAAATTGATTGCACTTTTTTGATGTCTTTGTCAATTAACAAAAAAAGTCTTTCATACTTTTTTTTGAACTTCGTTTGATTTTGTATTGTTTTATAGCAGACATCAATGCCCAGCAGAGTCTAAATATTTCCGGATCAAAGAGGGTACCCTGTTGTTCTTAAAAAATTATCACATTGTTCAAGCTATTTCTCGCCTGAACTTTCGTAACTTTCCATAAAACTGCTACATCAGTGTCACCATCACCAACATCATCGTCATCATCATCACTGACATTGTTTAATGAACAGTCTCTGGGTTCAAGCTTAGAAAGGCTCAATATTGCATCATCAGTTAATAACTCCCCTGTTTCCAAACCGTTATCAATTTCCACAAATTCAGAGGCAGACATGGGCTTTTCACTTACTTCACATGGAAATCTGGAGATCAATTCTGCCAGAAACTTTAGTTTAGTGTTTGTTAGCAACAACCCACTTTCAGTATGGCTAGATGCGTTGTCAACAAGTAAAACAACATGTTTTCCTTGTAAACGCATAGATTTGTCAAATTGCTTCAACCAATCTTGGAATACAGAGGACGTCATCCAGGCTTTTTTGTTAAAAGTGTAATTTACATATATCTTCGGTCAAAAGTTTTACCAAAACACCTAGGCCTGGCACATTTCCCAATTACAAGCGGTTTTTGCTTGTCCGTTCCAGAAGCATTGCAGCAAAGGGCATGGAAATTCTCTCTTTCGATCCTTTAAGTCCGTAGATCGAACCAGAGGCAAGTGTTGAATTTGGGCCGAGTCGATAAAACAAGCAAGTCTCGTCAAGATTATAGACGTCATCGGCATCATACACCTCTAATAAATCCTTCAGTTCACTGCGACCTAAAAATAAAAGCAAAAGAAAACGTTTTACTCACAATTTCGGTTTTCTTTAAAATAACACCAAAACTCTAATTATTAGAGTACTCCGGAAAAGATAACTCGTGACCAATTTCGATTGATTAACTCCCTTAGTTTTTCATAACGTTTAAGTACGGTTTTAATATTAAATATAAATTCATTATTAGAGATGATTTCAATCAGGTTAAGAATTTATTTAATATAATTATTAAACCAATAATAACAATAAAAATCTAACCAGTATTCACGAGAGATAGATCGACGCTTCCTGCTTCTCCGTGGGCTTTAAAGGATTTCAGTCCGTGGCGTTGTTTGAAGCGCTGTACCCAGCCCTTGCTGTACTGAAAGTTTTCTTTGATTTCAAATTGTTGTCCGAATATTTAAGCTTTAGACATTAACATTTCGTCTGATATCATAGCATTTTTAGCTCGACTATTCGCAGAATAATCGAGCTAATGCAGTCACCCATTTGTCGGCGTCGGCGTCAGCGTCCCTGTGGTTAAGTTTTTGTATGTAAGCTGGTATCTCCATAACTACTGAAGGGAATGGATTGAAACTTCACACACTTGTTCTCTGTGATTATCTAAGATGATTGGCACAAGTCCCATAACTCTGGTTTGCTTTTTTTCATAATTATGCCCCTTTTTCGACTTAGAAATTCTTGGTTAAGTTTTTGTATGTAAGCTGGTATCTCCATAACTACTGAAGGGAATGGATTGAAACTTCACACACTTGTTCTCTGTGATTATCTAAGATGATTGGCACAAGTCCAGTGATTAATCTAGAAATTCCTTACAATGCGTCGGATGACGCACATGTTTGAAAACAACGAGTCCTTTAGCAAAATCAATGAGTCATGTAGCAAAATAAATGGGTCTTAGCAGAATGTTTTTTTTAATAGCAGATCCTTGACATGATTTGCATGTTTTTATAACAAGCGATTAAGTAATTAAAGTGTATAAAAAAGTTTTTTTTTGGTACTAATATTAATTGCAGGCAAAACAATTTTTATTGGCTGCTCAAAAATCTAATTTGCATAATTTATATTTTCTTACTACTTATGTCTAATACTGTGCATTATCCATTTTAAATTGTTCGTAATTTGCACAAAATGTCCCTATCACACTGTATACATACTGACGACTTTTATTGCTCCTTGTATGCCTCAGCTCTGTGTAGAAAGCATACACAGACAGACCTTTTTGATCATGAAAAAAAGTCATGCACAATGTTTCCCTGATTGGTTAATCACCCTGTCAAATATTCTGATGACGTAATAGACATCTTTTTTTTTTTACACTCCGCGTGAACTTGAGTGACCTTAGGGGAATTCAATTTACACACCTGTCAGATTATACTGTAACTTACAGCATTTCTTAAAATAGCAACACTTTTTTTTCAGTTACCGATATTTATTTAAAATATTAAGTAGATTAATGATTTTTTGTTTGTTTATTGGATTAAATTTACGGTAGTAGAAATGCTTATCTGTGTGGGAAAGGGATAAGGTAAGTAGATAATTGGAAAAATGCTATAGGGAAATGGATAAACTCAAGAATATGCGGAATTACATGGGAATGGGTAACCTGTTGCTGTTGGTACCAGTTTTGTCTGGATGACGAAATAACATACAATATAGGTCTGGCACAGATTTTAGATGCACCCTTGGCCCTTTGCTGACGATTTGCATCTCTGCATATTTCACCATTGTAGGCGATTCGCTCTCATGCAAAATGGGCGCTCTGATTGGCTAATGCCGATAATGGGCGGTTACCGATCACAGGGGATTTAACGTTTCAAGCAAATGGGGGATTAGTCTTGCACAAGTAATCCTCGGAAATTAAATTATTCAACTGAGGAAATTGAAAAATTATTCAACTGATTAAAACAGTACATAGAAATCACTAATCCTGATATTTTCGATTATAAACCACCTGATTTGCATGCGTCAAATTGAACGCACATATTTTGAAACTGTGCGTCTTTTTCTATTTTTATGCGTATTTTACGCAAGACGCACATCTAGATTAATCACTGCAAGTCCCATAACTCTGATTTGCTTTTTTACATAATTATGCCCCTTTTTCGACTTAGAAATTCTTGGTTAAGTTTTTGCGTGTAAGCTGGTATCTCCATAACTACTGAAGGGAATGGATTGAAACTTAAAACACTTGTTCTCTGTGATTATCTAAGATGATTGGCACAAGTCCCATAACTCTGATTTACTTTTTAACATAATTATGCCCCTTTTTCGACTCATGAATTCTTGGTTAAGTTTTTGCATGTAAGCTTGTATCTCCATAACTACTGAAGGGAATGTATTGAAACTTGAAGAGTTTGTACCTTTTCGGACAATTTATGTATTCATATAGGTAAGCATTATTATACTCAATGAAACACCCTTGTGACAAATTTTCGAATAGTCGAGCGTTACTGTCCTCCGACAGTACTTGTTACTCCTCATATCGTTAAACCACATGAACAACGCGTTTTCAAGATTTTCATATTTTCCACTTCGATGACGCACATGTTTTGATTTTGGAGAGTTAGTTATTGTCTCTTTGTTTTTTAAAATGTCACTCACTGTCGATCTCCCTATTTTAATGTTCCATACATTTGAAAAATGAACACGAATATCACTTTGTGTAACATCCTTTTTACTCTCTTTATATGAAATGATTTCGTATTTTTGTTCAAAAGTTAAATTAGTCCGTTGACGTTTAGCTGGAGGTTCTGCCATTATTTTAATAAAAAAGTTGACAAGTGTAAGAAAATTCTGCTGTCAACAACACGTTGGTATTGTAATAAGGTGTAACAACCAATTGACCAAGCTACAATACCTGTTTTAACACCTTTCGACTTTTGTTCACGGCTCAATTATACGCGAGCTTGACTGACCAAGTGTCAGTATAACGGGTACTGATTGTATAGAAAATAACACGTTTATAACACGTTCGGTTCCCAATTTTATTGTGTCGGAGTCGGAATACAAATTTTCCGTTATAATGGATTATAATAATGTTGAAAAAAATTGGTTCCCACCAATTCACTGTCGTTATTTGAATTTGTCAGTATTATGGATTCCGGTGTATTGAGTCCTGACTGTATGCATGTGTATAGTAAAAACTTAAAAACACTTCTTTTAAAAAACTCAAAGAGCTAGAGTTTAGCTACTAAGCATGAAATATCTTCTTGTGAGTGTCTACTAAGTTTGTTGAAATAAAAGCCCTGGGGTAAAAAATGGCCCTGCCCAGGGGGGGGGGGGGGTCATTGGTTTCCCTATATGTGCATAGTAAAAACTTATAAAAAATTTCTTTTAAAAACCTCAAATAGCTAGAGCGTAGATATTTATCATGAAACATGGGTGTTTACCAAGTTTGTTCAAATAAAAGTCCTTGGGTTAAAATTGGCCCCTCCTGAGCAATTTCAGGGTCATCATGGCCCTCTTGTTATTAATTTTAGCTACTTTTCAATTTCCTGTGGTTTAAATGATATTTTATGGGCACTATAGCAATGCATGTTCACAATTGCTATATTGTATGTCTTAATGGCTATAAAACAGTTAAAGAAACCTGCATCTGTTTTTTGTTGTTTCAGTTGAGGGATCTAGTGGCACAGAAGTTTTCTGCTCCAATTGAACAGTTATGTTTGATATTTGCTGGAAAGATACTGAAAGATGATGAGACACTTGTTCAACATTCCATTAAAGACGGGATGACTGTTCATCTAGTAATTAAATCAGCAAACCGGGTATTTATTAAACATACTACATTAAAAATATGTAATTGCTTTTTATCTTGATAACACAGTACACAAAAAGTTTTAGAAATAGCAAAATAAGAATGCAAATGAATTTCTTAAATTTTGAGTGGCTTACAGACTTACTGTGCTGGCACATATAAGCCATGAAGAAGAAAAGTACAAGGATAACAAGGTGCTTGTCATACTGGAAACAATAGCGTATATTCTGGTATTAATGTCGCCTCTACGGAGTAGTGACAACATATAGGGATCACTTCTTCGTCATCTGTCCATCCATCACAAAACTTGTCTGTACTACTCCTCAGAAACTACTGGTGCAATTTCATCCAAACTTTACAGGAATTATCAGTACCAAGTCTAGTTGTGCATATTGTCAGCATTTTCCGGTTCAATTATTTTTGCAGAGTTATGGCCCTTTAATAATTTTTAGCTAGACTATTTGAAGAATATGAGAGCTATTGTAGTCCCATCTGCATCGGCGTCTGTGTTGGTTAAAGTTTTTTGTAAAGTCAAATATCTCAATTATTGCTTGAGATATTCAATTACAATACTTATTATACCCCCGCACAACAAAGTTGTAAGGGGGGTATACTGGAATCAGCTTGTCCGTCCGTCCGGCTGTCCGGCCGTCTGGCCGTCCGTCGGTTTTTTCTTGTCCGCCCAATAACTTAAGATTCCTTTGACCCTTAGTCTTCATATTTGGCATGGAGGTTAGTCATGATTAGTAGATGACCTCTATTGATTTTGAGGTCAAAGGTCAAGGTCACAGGGGCCTTGACTTCAAAAAGCTTGTCCGCCAAATAACTTAAGATTCCTTTGACCTTCATATTTGGTATTGAGGTTAGTCATGATTAGTAGATGACCCCTATTGACTTTGAGGTCACCAGGTCAAAGGTCAAGGTCACCGGGGCCTTGACTTCAAAAGGCTTGTCCGACCAATAACTTAAGATTCCTTTGACCCACAGTCTTCATATTTGGCATGGAGGCTAGTCATGATAAGTAGATGACCCCTATTGACTTTGAGGTCACCAGGTCAAAGGTCAAGGTCACAGGGGCCTTGACTTCAAAAAGCTTGTCCGCCCAATAACTTAAGATTCCTTTGACCCACAGTCTTCATATTTGGCATGGAGCTTAGTCATGATTAGTAGATGACCCCTATTGAATGCATAAAATTGTCCCAAAAAAGGCACAAACCCTTCAGTAGTTATGGAAGCAAAACTTTACCATGAATTTCTAAGTTGAAAAAGGGGAGAAAAATCAGCCTAAATGCAAGATAGAATTATGGATCTTGGTCAGTGACCTACAATTATGACCCTAAATGCATATGCATATGTGAAGTTTTAAAATCTTGTGCATATGTCACAGGTTTTTATGTTGAATGATTCTTTGCCAAGTTATGGCTATCATGAGGTGACACATGTCATCATAATGATGGCCCTTGTAAATAAGTTAACTCATGAACTGTGTTTTTTGTTTTTAGCCATATATATATTTATATGTATATATGGCATTATTTTGTATTTGTAACTAACTCACCAGAGCCGAAGGTTCAGGGTGAGCTATTAGTATCAAAGGGGGATACTCCGTCGTCATGCATCAACATTCATCTTCTTCTCTGAAACTGCTGGGCAAATTTACTTTAAATTTTGTCTGTAACATCCTTGTGACAGTCCCATTTTAATTTGCTCCAGTATGAAAAGGAAATTAGACAGCGTGAGTTGATATGGTTTAATTGCCAGAGGTACAGTAACAATGAACTTGGGCTCCATTTTTTATTATGAAGAAAAATAAATAAGTGTCAGAAAACTACAGTCGAAACTGTCTTAAGCAGCCAACCAAGGGATGCAGTCATTTTGGCTGCTTAAGACAGGTGGCTGCTGAATGGAGGATCCAGTTTTTATCCAAATAAATTAAATCTGATTTAAGTATAAATAAACCAGTCTGATTCATCATCATCATCAGTTTTTAACCATTTACAAACGTATGCTTTTAATGGTTTAACATGTACACAATCCTTCCAACATATAAAGCTTTACATGAATGTAACACAGATAAACAAATGCACTCACGATTTATTATGTCAATAATTGAAACTATTTATCCCATAAAAATATCTTCTTGCACAATAATTTAAAATGCGTAATATTTTTTTCACAAAAAAAGTATGACAGTTTATTTTTCTAACTTTTGATCAATAGAATATTGTGTACACGTCATCTAAGTGTCGGCACTTCCTTTGATGTTTCAGATTGAAACAGCAGGGCTACAGGTTTGTAAACATCAAAGATTCCTTTGAAGAGACCGCTAGTTACCTCTTAGAGGTCATCTAATGTGTAAACTTAATGGGTGTGATTTAACAGTGACCTCATTATATTTATGCAATTTTATTTTCACACATGGAGCAAGTGTTTTTATGAATTTATTACTGAGGAATTTAGACAATCGGCGATGTAATCCATTTTCATTTCTTTGGTAAGTACCAAGTACGCACAAAATGTATCTGAATCGGGATAAACTGAAATTTCTTTCTGCCATCGACAATGCATTTTTTTCTTCTTTCTTTTTTTTTTTTTAAAATCGGTAAATCGGTAAATTGAACAATAAAAAAACTAGCGTAAAGTAACTCAAAAGAACGAATTGCAAGTGCGTTTAGACGTTCCAAACGTTTGTAATTACGACACGGATGAGCAATTATGCAAACTTCTTGAAATGTTATGGTTTGTGTTAATATCTAGCACCTGACAAGTAGCTTTTGTTAATCCGTGACACGTGTCATCTTTAAAAATAAATGGCAGAAGATTGCCTGGCCGTTTCACCTGGCTGACCGCAGAAGATTGCCTGGCCGTTTCACCTGGCTGACCGCAGAAGATTGCCTGGCCGTTTCACCTGGCTGACCGCTTAAGATGACCGACTTTAAGATTCGGGAAGCATTTTAGGTGACCGTTGACCGCGGACAGCAGGTGACCGTTGAACAGATGTATAAAATAGAGTGGTTTTCGTCGGGAGCGTCACAAAATGGCCGTTAAGGTCAGGTGACCGCCGATAAGAGGTGACCGTTAGTACAGTTTCGACTGTATATAAAACTAGAGGGCCATGTTTAAATTAAGTTTCAGCAAGTTCATTTGAAAAAATATTTCTAACACTGAAAAATAATTGTTTCTGGTGAGCGATTCAGGGCCATCATGGCTCTCTTGATTATGAACTAGTCATGAAGAATTTGCATTATTGTGCACCCCACTTTAGGGGGGGGGGGGGATTTAGATTTACCCTTGTCCGTCTCTTTTGTATCGCACGTAACTCAAAAAGTATTTGACCTAGAGTCATGAAACTTAACAGGAATGTTGATCAAATTGTGCAGTTGTGCACCTGCTTATTTTCGTGAGGATTTATTCAGTATTTTCAGAGTTATTGCCCTTCACTTAGTAAAATTTGCAATTTTCAACTTGTGTTGCATGTAACTCCAAAAATATTTGACCTACAGTCATGAAACCTTACTGGAATGTTGATCAGCATGTGTAGTTGTGCACCTGGGTATTTTTGTGTGGATATATTTAGTATTTTTAGAGTTGTTATTGCCCTTGACTTAGTAAAAATTTCAAATTTTTAACTTGTGTCAAACATAACTAAAAAAGTATTTGACCTAGAGTCATGAAACCTTACAATAATGTTGCTCAGCATGTGCAGTTGTGCACCTGAGTATTTTCGTGTGGATATATTTAGTATTTTTAGAGTTATTACCCTGGACTTAGTAAAAATTTGCAATTTTCAACTTGTTGCTCAGCATGTGCAGTTGTGCACCTGAGTATTTTCGTGTGGATATATTTAGTATTTTTAGAGTTATTACCCTGGACTTAGTAAAAATTTGCAATTTTTTACTTGTGTGGCACGTAACTCAAAAAATATTTGACCTAGAGTCATGAAACCTTACAGGAATGTTGATCAGCATGTGTAGTTGTGCATGTGGGTATTTTCGTGTGGATATTTTTAGTATTTTTAGAGTTATTGCCCTTGACTTAGTAAAAATTTACAATATTCAACATGTAACTCAAAGTATTTGACCTGTAGGCCTGAAAGTTTACAAGAATGTTGGTCAGCATGTGTACTAATGCACATTGGGGTTTTACTTGTGGATTTATTCAGTATCCTTTACTTAATAAAAGATTTTTAGTTTTCAACTTGGGAACATGTAGCCAAAAAAAAAAAATTTGACCTAGAGACATAAGATTGACAAACCGATGGAGTGTGGAGTGTGGGGGCACCCGTGTCCTATGGACACATTTCTTGTTCTTAATCAAATGATCTTCAAAATAGCGGACGATGGGAAACAATCAGTTCATTATATGTAAATCTGTTTGCTTTATAATCTCCTGATACAAGGAACTAATTCGCTATATGCTTACAAGGAACTCCGGATATAAGGAACAGATTTTGAATGTCCCAATGAGTTCGTTAAAACAGGAGTTTACTGTACTTTCAATTAATGACTTAATGACATAACATAATGTCATTATATCTATTTTAAGAACCTTTTTTATGCCACCGTAGTATCTGCGATGCAGTGGCATATAGCGATTCACCTGTTTGTGTCTGTATGTATGTATGTTTGTTATATAGATTATATAATGAACTTAAAAAATCTTCTTGTGAAAAAATACTAGTCCAATTTCAACCAAACTTAGCAGGATTGATCCTTGGGTGGAGAACTTCTAAAGTTGTTCAAAGAATTTCATTCCATGCAGAAATCTGGTTGCCATGGCAACCAAAAGGAATTATAGGAATAAATTAACAGAATTCTTTTTGTAAAGACCCACCAGGCTAAGAGCATAGATATTTTGCATAAGGCATTGTCTGGAAGACCTCTATCAAGATTGTTCAAATTATAGCCCTGGGGTCAAAATTGGCCCGCCCTGGGGTCATTGATTTTCACTATATGTACATATAGTAAAAACTTAAAAAACCATCTTGTCTGAAGGTACAAGGCTTAGAGCTTTGATATTTGGTATATGATATCATCTATAGGTACTCTACCAAAGTTGATCAAATTTTGCCACTACTGTCAAAATTAGCCCCGCCCCTGGGGTCATAGGTTTTCCTTTTATGTATTAGTAAAAACTTTAAAAAAATCATCTTCTACTAAGATTGTTCAAATTATGGCCCAGGGGTCAAAATTTGCCCCACCCCGGGATCATTGATTTTCAATATGTACATATAGTAAAAAATTTAAATACCTTCTTGTCTCTAGTGAGACCCCTGGGGTCATAGTTTTCCTTATATGTACATGTTTATAGTAAAAACTTTAAAAAATCATCTTCTCTAATTTAACAAAGGCTAGAGGTTAGATATTTTGCATGAAACATTGTGTAGTGAACCTCTAGCAAGATTGTTCAAATTATAGCCTTGGGGTCAAAATTGGCCCCGACCCTGGGGTCATTGATTTTCAGTCACTATGTACATATAGTAAAAAATTAAAAATCTTCTTGTCTTAAGGTACAAGGCTTAGAGTTTTGATATTTTGTGCCCTGCCCCAGAGGCGATAGTTTTCCTTAATATAGTAATATAGTTAAAACTTGAAAAATCTTCTTCTCTGAATTGTCAAAAGCTAGAGGTTAGATATTTGGCATGAGACTTTGTGTAGTTAACCTTTACCAAGATTGTTCATATTATAGCCTTGGGGTCAAAATTGGCCCCTCCCCGGGATCATTGATTTTTCACTATGTACATTTAGTTAACAAGAGCACCGCTAGGCAGAGCATTATATATGCCCCAAAGTGTTTTTATGCCACCGCAGCATCTGCGATGCGGTGGCATATAGCGATTCACCTGTGTGTGTGTGTGTGTTTGTTTGTTTGTTTGTTTGTTTGTTTGTTTGTTTGTTTGTTTGTTTGTTTGTGTGTGTGTGTGTGTGTGTGTGTGTGTGTGTATAGATTATATAGTGAACTTAAAAAATCTTCTTGTGAAAAACCACTAGTCCAATTTCAACCAAACTTGGCAGGATTGATCCTTGGGTGAAGGGCTTCCAAAGTTGTTCAAAGAATTTAATTCCATGCAGAAATCTGGTTGCCATGGCAACCAAAAGGAATTATAAGAATAAATTAAAAAAATCTTCTTGTAAAGACCCAAAAGGCCTAGAGCTTAGATATTTTGCATAAGGCATTGTCTGGTAGACCTCTACCAAGATTGTTCAAATTATAGCCCTGGGGTCAAAATCGGCCCCGCCCCGGGGGTCATTGATTTTCACTATATGTACATATAGTAAAAACTTCAAATACCTTCTTGTCTGAAGGTACTAGGCTTAGAGGTTTGATTTTTGTTATGTGTTATTATCTATAGGTTCTCTACCAAAGTTGTTCAAATTTTGACTCTAGTGTCAAAATCAGCCCCACCCCAGGGGTCATAGGTTTTCCTTATATGTATATAGTAAAAACTTAAAAAATCATCTTCTCTAAATTCACAAAGGCTGGAGGTTAGATATTTTGCATGAAACATTGTGTAGTGAACCTTTAGCAAGATTGTACAAATTATAGCTCTGGGGTCAAAATTGGCCCCGCCCCGGGGGTCATTGGTTTTCACTATGTACATATAGTAAAAAATTTAAAAAACTTCTTGTCTGAAGGTACAAGGCTTAGAGCTTTGATATTTGGTATGATATCATCTATAGGTACTCTACCAAAGTTGTTCAAATTTTGCCTCTAGTGTCAAAACTAGCCCGCTGCGGGGGTCATAGGTTTTCCTTACATGTATATAGTAAAAACTTTAAAAAATCTTCTCTAATTGACAAAGGCTAGAGGTTAGACATTTTGCATTAAACATTGTGTAGTGAACCTCTAGCAAGATTATTCAAATTAAAGCCCTGGGGTCAAAATTGGCCCCGCCCCTGGGGATCATTGATTTTCAGTCACTATATATGTCTTAAAGTAAAAAATTAAAAATCTTATTTCTGAAGTTACTAATCTGATAATAACAGATAGGTAAGTGATCTATGCATTATGACAATCTGTATAGAAACCAAAATAAAATGTGTTCCTACATTACTATTTAGTGTTGTATTTATGCAGTGGCATGGCATTTTTTACAAATGCAATCTTGTTTTGGCTATTATTGGCTGTTATTTTTGAATGGATTGTCTTCAAAGTTGAACATAATAATCTTCAAGGATAACCCTTAACAAGAGCCCGATTTAAGCCGGGTGATGCTCCCTGAATAGGTTTTGGACACAGGAAAGTACACCTTGTAGTTTCAGAGTTATGTCCTAGTAAAAAGTTCAAAGTGCAATAATTCCAAAATTAGGCAAGGCAGAGTTACTGTTCTTTGCACTGCACTTCTAATCAATGTGATCTATCAACCTACAACAAAGTTTCTTGTTGATATCTCTTATGGTTTCCGGACAACTTCAAAAAGTAAAAATAAACAAAGGGCAATAACTCCAGAATTAGGCAAGGCAGAGTTATGATTCTTGTGCACTGCACATCTACCCATTGAGATATATCTACCTACAAAGTTTCATGTTGGTATCTCTTACAGTTTTACAGCTATGTCCTGGACAAGATTTTTCTAAAAGGGGAGATAATTCAAAAATGAGGCTTAACAGAGTTATGGGTCTTTTGCACTGCACTTCTACTCAATGAGATCTATCTACCTACAATGTTTCATCTTGATATCTCTTATAGTTTTAGAGTTATGTTCCTGACAAAGTTCAAAGTGTTAAATTAACAAAGGGCAATAACTCCAAAATTAGGACAAAAAGAGTTATTGTTCTTATGCACTGCACATCTACCCATTGAGATCTATTCACCTACAAAGTTTCATGTTGATATCTCTTATACTTTTAGAGTTATGTCCCGGACAAGATTTTTCTATAAGGGGAGATAATTCAAAAACCAGGCAAAATAGAGTTATGGTTCTTTGACACTGCACTCCCCCACAATGCCCTCTACCACTGTATGAAGTTTAAACAAATTATCTCCAAGGGTTTTCAAGTTATGCTCCAGACAAGACAACAGACGGACAAGGCGCCGACTATATGCTCCCCCGAAATTTTTCGGGGAGCATAAAAATAACCAGACAGACCTTGACCTTCACTCATAGATGACCTTGAGTTTGAAGGTCAAATTATTGAAATTTGTCAATTTTTTGGCTGTAACTTTGCTATTATTAAATGGATCGACTTCATATTATAACAGAACATTCTTAACGACAAGACCTTCATGTTTATCAAACTTTAATTGACTTGGGCTCTTTAATGACCTTGACCTTGAAGGTTAAATTACTGAATTTTCAGAGATTTGTGCATTAAATGACCATATATATATATATATGTGTATATATATATATATATATATATATAAATGTGTATATATATAAATACGTGTATATATGTGTGTGTGTGTGTGCATGTGTGTAAATGGTTCTTGTTACACTTTGAATTTTGTCCGGGACATAACTCTAAAAGTATAAGAGATATCAACATGAAACTTTGTAGGTAGATAGATCTCATTGAGTAGAAGTGCATTGTTAAAGAAATATATATCAATGCATGTATATTATACAGGTCTCACACTGTCGGTCGCCATAGTCGCCATTTGCAATTATTTTATAAGATTGGCGATTATTTTTGCATTTTGGCTACAAAATCTGGCGAGTATTTTTTTACTTCCAACAGTGTTTATATAAGGTGTAAAAATCGATAAAGAGTGCAGTAGACCCAATTAACACCAGCGGGATGGATTTAATTGAGTTTCAACTTTTTATCAGTCACATGCTGCTTACTATATTGCTCAGGTGATAAAAATACATGCGAGATGTAAAATTGTATAAGTACTTTAAAGATATTGTCCAGCATTATCATAGCCATCAAATATCCGTCAATTAGCCACAAAATTGTCTTAAAATTGATAAACTGGATATTGACCAACCCTAAATTCACCGTAAATTGCAGTAATTGCAAATTTTGACTTTTTTGTTTTAAGCTGCTTGACTAAATCGCCAGTGGAAAACAATGATAAAATATTAAAAAAGTATTAACTTCCAAACAACTATTTGCACAACAACCAAAATTGTGAATATTTATTAAAAAAACAGGAAAAAAATCGATTGTCAAATATTTTCGCGACACCGATAATTTTGATATTTATTTAAAGGTGAAAATAAGCTATGTTCTGTTTTAAAATCTTTACTATTTTGGCAGAAAATTTGTATTACATTGGTGAAGATGACATTTTTCAGTAAGTTATTCAAAAACAAATAGCTGCATTATGTGAATGAGTTTGCAAGTGTTATTTCTATAGGCTAATATGACCTAGATCTACTCCAGTTCTGTGAAATGTGGAAATTGGCAGTGGTTATAGTTGACAAAATTTGATTAGAACAAACAAAAGAAATTGTATAACAGCATTATGTAAAGTTATAATGAATCTTTAATATTATTGTTATAAAGTTATTATACTATATAACATTTTTATTCTGTTCTATAATAACAATTAAAGTTGTGGTTCTATGTAAAAAAGGTAGTTATCAATATACACAAATGTATCAGTTTATTTGAGAATCCTTATAAAACTGAAAAAGTTTTGTATGTAATGTTTATTTAATCAACTGCTTATGTTGTTTTATTGCTAAATTGTGAATAGTCCGCTGAACTTTTGGCTATTATTTTTTTAAGTTGAAAATATTGGCTATTATTTTATTTGAGCCAAATTAAGCCCTGAATATATATAGCCCGGGTCTCCACGATACAGGTGTACATATTTTATACAAGGTGTTTTTCACATAAAATTTTAATGATTTGAAAAAAAAGAAGGAAGAAACAACTTTATTAACATTTAATCCTCTTAAAAATACATTACATAGTTCTATTACTATGAAATTCTCGCTCAATACAAATGTAAACAATGGTCGACCATTTTGTATGATGTAGTTAAACCGACTTCATGCTACCAGTGCACTGGTAAAATATGTTATTTATATGGAAAGCCATTGCAGTTTTAATAGCAAAAAATATCATTTTAGCATTCTTGTATTCATATCTAAAAAACAAGCTTAAAAACAACATAAAAACGTGTGTTTCAATAGTTTACTGTTCCTCTTTTATCACCCCCAAGGGATCTCTGTTTTAGAATCTTTTACTCCCAATTACAGGTGTATATTATACCATGTGGCTGGATTCAAAAATTCCCCTTCACTTAATTTTAGTATTGTTGTGATTTTCTGGTCCTTTTATATCATTGAATCTATTTTATTTCTATATGATGAAGATTAGATATCAATATGACACTTTACACAGGCTCCCTTAAAAGACTGAATGAAACTGACTTTTTAATTTTCACAAACTATTTTATATGCACTAATGGCTTTCCATAGATTAATTTTTTCCTGCCAAAAATGATGTCAAAAGGTCAAGTGACATGTAATGGAGGTTGAATGACGTCAGCACCTGTCATTTTTTTTTTTTTTTTTTGAAAATTAAAAAGTGTTTTGTAGAGAGACCAATTTATTCAATGGAGGAATAGGAAAGTAAAATAAAAATAAGGTAGGATATGTGAAATATTTCCTTCAGAAACTCATGAAAATGTTTAAAAACATTGATATAGCCAAGTTTACTGGGAGCATGTCAATATAAACACTCTGTAGGTGGCGTTGACAATAATATCGCGTGATATGTGAATATACCTGTACCACGGAGTCACAGGTATCATGGGGTTCGAGTATATATATATATATATATAAATGCCTATATATATAAATGCATATGTATATATATACAAAATATATAGACAAAACTAATGTGACAAGACAGACGGATTAAATTTATAAAAAGGAAACGTTGAGATTTGTTCAAACATTTCTTTGTTTGCTTTTAGAAAAAGTAAAAAGTGGAGCATTGCCCCCGCCCGGCGGTGGCTCTTGTCAGTTTTAAGGTAATAATGACCTTGACCTTTGACCTTGTGGGCCCCAAAATCAATAGGGGTTTTCTACACAATATGGACAATCATCCTATGAAGTTTGAATAGAGTGGGCCAAATGGAACTTAAGTTATGCTCCGGAAACCATTTTCAGATTTAAGGTAATAGTGACTTTGACCTTGTGACCCCAAAATTAATAGGGGTCTTCTACCCAATATGGACAATCATCCTATGAAGTTTGAATACTGTGGGCCAAATGGAACTAAAGTTATGCTCTGGAAACCAAGTTGCTGATGGACGGACAGAAGGACGGACACCAGGGGGCATAACATAATATGCCTGAAATTCTTTCGGGTATATAAAAATTAAAAAATCCTCTTGTCTGAAGGTACAAGGCTTAGAGCTTTGATGTTTGCTTGATAATATCATCCATAGGTCCTATACCAAAGTTCAAATTTTGAACCTGGTGTCAAAATTGGCCCTGCCATTGATTTTCATTATGTACACATAGTAAAAACAGAAACTAAAACAAATGTTTTCTGAATTGGAGAAAGCTACAGCTTAGATATTTGACATGAAATGTTAAAAGGTGGACCTGTATCAAGATTGTTTGAATTAAACACTTGGGTAAAAATTTTGCCTTGCCCAAGGGGCAGTTACCTGCTTTCTTGTCCTTTGATGTACAGCCATGAAATTTGGACTAGGTGCACAGTTTTAGTTGTTAAATTGAACTTTGATTGGTGACCTAGATTTTGATGATGTGATCTACTTTGTGCAGCTATTAAATTTGAACCATGTGCACAGATTAAGATGTAAAGTGAACTTTGATATCAGCTGGCCTAGATTTTGACAAAGTGTCTTTCTGTGTTGTCCTTTGATGTACAGTCATGGAATTTTGGCCATATGAAATATGACCTTCACCATCAAATTCACTAGACTCAACTGCATTGATAGATTCCTACTCTGATCTTTTATTTGAATAACAATAGATTTAACCACTTATCTGATAATAAGAATTAGATATTTCAGTGATCTATTTATTATGGCATTCTTCAATTGTATAGAAACAAAAAAAAATGTTCCTACATTACTATTTAGTGTTGTATTAATGCGGTGGCATAGCATTTTTCACAAATACAATCTTGTTATGGACTTTGTGTTATTATAAGTATAGGCACTTATTTCATTCTTATTATTTCAGGTACTTGATAAGTGATTTGTAGCATGCCTTTGGGATATGAATTCATAGAATTCATAGAATTTACTGGTTGACCTTTAATCAGAGCAACAGATAAGCTTTGAAAGTGAATTGGGTATTACTCAATCAATTCATGTGGAGTTGGGTATTGGCTCCATTTAATTGGGTATTCAAAAACCTGTTACCCTATGATTTTAAGATCGATTGGGTATTCAATTATAAAGATATGAATTTCATGGTTAATTATGTTTTTTAATTATTATTATTTACCTGATGGCCCAAATGTGCCAAATTGTGACAGTTTTTGTCTACATTCCGGAATAATGCACATAAAACATGGTCCGGAATGTTTAAACAACTGACGGAATTTTAATTATTTAGAACTGTTATATTTCAAATCTTCTTTTGTTCCCTATAATGTATGTATGACAGCATATTGCTTTCAGAGTGTCTATTGATACAGGTTATTCACATGGGACCTACTTATTGACGGTCTCAGTAAAACAACAGTCTCTGCCGCTCTGTAAAGACTGTCAACCTGAGTAGAGTATTTGATAAATTGACAATCTTGTACTGAATTGATTTGACTTCGGCAGGGGACTGTCGAAGATCGCATCACTGTCTATTAGTAACCCCTAAATTACATTTGGGAATATTCGGATAGCATGCACATAACTATTGTCCAAAACTACGAGCAGATGACAGGTTAATCTTGCATGACGAAAATGATAATACGCGTAGATTTTTAAGGCAATTGCGTATCTTTTTATGCCACCGCAGCATCTGCGATGCGGTGGCATATAGCGATTCACCTGTGTGTGTGTGTGTTTGTGTGTGTGTTTGTGTGTGTGTTATATAGATTATATAGTGAACTTAAAAAATCTTCTTGTGAAAAACCACTACTCCAATTTCAACCAAACTTGGCAGGATTGTTCCTTGGGTGAAGGGCTTCCAAAGTTGTTCAAAGAATTTCATTCCATGCAGAAATCTGGTTGCCATGGCAACCAAAAGGAATTATAAGAATAAATTTAAAAAATCTTCTTGTAAAGACCCAAAAGGCCTAGAGCTTAGATATTTTGCATAAGGCATTGTCTGGTAGACCTCTAACAAGATTGTTCAAATTATAGCCCTGGGGTCAAAATTGGCCCCGCCCCGGGGGTCCATGATTTTCACTATGTACATATTGTAAAAACTTAAAATACCTTCTTGTAAAAACCCAAAAGGTAGAGATATTTTGCATAAGGCATCATCTGGTAGACCCTTACCAAGATTGTTCAAACTATAGCCCTTGGGTCAAAATCGGCCCCACCCCGGGGTCATTGATTTTCGCTATATGTACATATAGTAAAAGCTTAAAACACCTTCTTGTAAAGACCCAAAAGGCCTAGAGCTTAGATATTTTGCATAAGGCATTGTCTGGTAGACCTCTACCCAGATTGTTCAAATTATAGCCCTGAGGTCAAAATCGGTCCCGCCCCAGGGGTCATTGGTTTTTCTTATATGTATATAGTAAAAACTTCTTCTAGCAATTGACAAATGCTAGAGGTTAGATATTTTGCATGAAACATTTTGTTGGAAACCTCTAGCAAGATTGTTCAAATTATAGCCCTGGGGTCAAAATTGGTTCCGCCCCGGGGGTCATTGATTTTCATTATGTACATATAGTGAAAAAAAAATTTTTTATTGTCTGAAGGTTCAAGGCATAGAGCTTTAATATTTGTTAAATAACATCATCTAAAGGTACTCTACCAAAGTTGTTCAAATTTTGCCTCTTGTGTCAAAATTAGCCCCGCCCCTGGGAGCCATAGGTTTATTGTGTCGCCTCTACGGAGTAGTGGCGACATATAGGGATCACTTCTCCGTCGTCTGTCTGTCCGTCTGTCCGTCTGTCTGTCTGTCTGTCTGTCCGTCCGTCCGTCACAAAACTTGTCCGGACTACCCCTCATAAACTACTGGTGCAATTTCATCCAAACTTTACAGGAATGATCAGTACCAAGTCTAGTTGTGCATATTGTCAGGATTTTCCGGTTCAATGATTTTTGTCAGAGTTATGGCCCTTTAATAATTTTTAATTTTAAAGTAGTCCGGACTACTTCTCTTATACCACTAATGCAATTTCAATGAAACTTTACAGGATTGATCTGTAGCTCAAGTCCTTGCGCATATTGCACGGGTTTTCCGGTTGAATGATTTTTGGCCGAGTTATGGCCCTTTGATAAAAAGGTGTTTTTTTCTGTGTGTTGCCAGATACACAAAAGCTTGTCCGGACTACTCCTCATAAACTACTGGTGCAATTTCATCCAAACTTTACACGAATGATCAGTACCAAGTCTAGTTGTGCATATTGTCAGCATTTTCCGGTTCAATGATTTTTGTTTGAGTTATGGCCCTTTAAAAATTTTTATTTTTAAAGTTTGTCCAGACTACTTCTCTTATACCACTTATGCAATTTCAATGAAACTTTACAGGATTGATCTGTAGCACAAGTCCTTGCGCATATTGCACGGGTTTTCCGGTTGAATGATTTTTGGCCGAGTTATGGCCCTTTGATAAAAAGGTGTTTTTTTCTGTGTGTTGCCAGATACGCAAAAGCTTGTCCGGACTACTCCTCATAAACTACTGGTGCAATTTTATCCAAACTTTACAGGAATGATCAGTACAAAGTTGTTAGTCTAGTTGTGCACTGTCCGCCTGTCTGTCCGTCTGTCACAAAATTTGTCCCAACATGAAATTGGCCATCATGAGGCGACACATGTGATTACTGATCGCTCTTGTCTTATATGTATATAGTTAAAACTTAAAAAATCATCTTCTCTAAATTTACAAACGATAGAGATAAGATATTTTGCATGAAACATTGTGTAGTGAACCTCTAGCAAGATTGTCCAAATTATAGCCCTGGGGTCAAAATTGATTCAGCCCCGGGGGTCATTGATTTTCATTATGTACATATAGTGAAAAAAAAAAATTTTTGTCTGAAGGTTCAAGGCATAGAGCTTAAATGTTTGATATATAATATCATCTATAGGTCCTCTACCAAAGTTGTTTAAATGTCAAAAATTGGCCCTGCCCGGGGGCAGTGATTCTCATTGTGTACACGTAGTAAAACCAGAAAATAAAACAAATGTTTTCTGAATGGGAGAAAGCTATAGCTTTGATATTTGATTTGAAATGTTGTTTGGTGGACCTGTATCAAGATCGTTATTAAACCCTTGGGTCAAAATTATGCCTTGCCCAAGGGGACAGTGACCTACTTTCTTGTCCTTTGATGTACAGCAATGACATTTTGACCATGTGCACAGTTTTAGTTGTTAAATTGAACTTTGACCTAGATTTTGATGATGTGACCTACTTTCTTGTCCTTTGATGTACAGCTATGAAATTTGAACCATGCGGTGGCATAGCATTTTTCTCAAATGCAATCTTGTTTTTTTTAAATGGGTTTTGATACGCATATTAAAAAACAGGATTGTGTATTATATAAAATTAAGTGCTTAAATACGCAAATACGTAAAATTAATTGCGCAAATACGCACCTTATCTGTTGCTCTTTTAGTGAAAATGATATCTTTATTTGAAAGCAAGGAAGTTGTCAAGTGGGGAAGTTGTCATAAGGATAAATACCTTGAAATCTGTTTTCTTTTCAAGTTATTTCAGTGTATTATTATTACATTTGTTATTTTTTTCTACAACTTCATTTGTTAACAATGCCTGTATATTTATTATAGACTGCTGCAGCATCAAGTTCTGCTCCAGTTTCAGACTCTACGGGCACAACACCATCACTAGTAAGAATTACTTACATTGTAAAATCAAAGTGCTGAATGCACTGAATGCGACGGACATGCAAGGCTTTTTCAGAAAAAAAAACAAACACAAAAGATATAACAGAGACAATTTGTTCCATACAAGTTCGAGATTTGTAGAGCAATCTATTTTAGGTGTCCCAATCTGAAATCATTCAGATTTTCTACTTTCAAGCAGAACACGTCCAAATTTTTAAATACAGAATGAAATTTATGCCTCAAAACTCTGGTCAAACTTGTAAATCAGTGTCCTTATCGATTTATTTGTAAATAGAAAAAACTGTCAACGAAATATTTTTAAAATAAAACCATGCAAATAAACTTCAAGCATAATACATAATACATGCAAGAATGTTAATTAGAATTGCTTCGTATTATATCATAGTTGGCATATAGACAATAAAATATAAGTTTTTAGTATTTTTAGCTCACCTGTCACAAAGTGACAGGGTGAGCTTTTGTGATCGCTTTTCGTCCGGCGTCCGTCCGGCGTCCATCCGTCCGGCGTCCGTCCGTAAACTTTTACTTTAAATGACATCTCCTCATAAACCACTAAGCTTCCAAACTTCACAGGAATGTTCCTTTGGTGGTCACCTTTAAAAATTGTTCAAAGAATTTAATTCCATGCAGAACTCTAATTGCCATGGCAACCGAAAGAAAAACTTTAAATATCTTCTTTTAAAAAACCCAAAGAGCTAGAGCTTAGATATTTGGCATGAAACATTTTCTAGTAAGTGGCTACCAAGTTTGTTCAAATTAAAGCCATGGGGTCAAAATTGGCCCCGCCCCAGGGGGTCGTTGATTTTCCCTATATGCATATAGTAAAAACCTAAAAAATCTTCTTTTAAAGAACCAAAAGAGATAGAGCTAAGATATTTAGCATGAAACATGTTCTAGTAAGTGTCTTCAAAGTTTGTTCAAATTAAAGCCCTTGGGTCAAACTGGCCCCGCCCCAGGGGTGTCATTGTTTTTAACTATATGTGTATAGTAAAAACTTAAAAAATCTTCTTTTAAAAAACCCAATGAGCTAGAGCTTAGATGTTTAGCATGAAACATCTTCTTATTGGTGTCTACCAAGTTTGTTCAAATAAAAGCCCTTGGGTTAAAATTGGCCCTGCCAGGGGGGGGGGGGGAAGGGGGGAGGTCATTCTTTTTCATTATATGTGTGTAGTAAAATCTTAACATCATGAAACATCTTCTAATGGGTGTCTTCCAAGTTTGTTCAAATAAAAGCCCTGGGGTTTAAACTGGCCCCGCTCTGGGGGCCTATATACAGGTGAGCGACCTCAGGGCCATCATGGCCCTCTTGTTTACAAATGCAATCTTGTTAGAATAGTGTTATCCCAGATCGAAGGCTATTATAATCTCTCACAAATCACATTAGCAGGTTAACTTATATTGTGACCTAGAAAATTATGTAATTAATGCGCGAGATATTCTAGAATTGCTGAGTCACGAAAAAAATTTGATCTGTTAATAAAAATGTTTTGTTTGATGGAGAAATATTTATACCCCCGCACAACAAAGTTGTAAGGGGGGTATACTGGAATCAGCTTGTCTGTCCGGACGTCTCCCCGTCCCTCCATCGGTTTTTCCTTGTCCGCCCAATAACTTGAGATTCCTTTGCCCCACTGTCTTCATATTTGGCATGGAGGTTAGTCATGATTAGTAAATGACCCCTATTGATTTTGAGGTCACTGTGTCAAAGGTCAAGGTCACAAGGGCCTTGACTAAAAAAACTTGATTTTAAAATTTTCACATTTGAAGCATGGAGAATACATATCTTAGCAATGCACTGGCTTAGTAACCTCAGATTTGGCTGGGTGGTTGTCCTTGAGTTCTAAATGACCACTGTTGATTCTGACAAAGTGGTATGCGGGGGTATTCACGCCATGACAGTGGCAGTTCTAGTTATTTCCTACTTATAATTTCTAGGAATTATTGAGCTTTCTCCTTAATTATAGCATAATTTGCTGACCTACTTTTTCGACAGCAGTAAATGGTTTCAGCAGTTATTTGCATATTGCGCAATAATACTACGGGGGCAACAGCGTTTTTATCAATCAAATGCGTTCATATTTTAACTTGGATAACTATTTGAAAATGAAAAGGCTAAATATGGAAGTTTTTAACATATCCCGACAAAGTATGGGAGTTTCATAGGATCAAATTCATGTACTATTTCTTGGGCTGTTATTCGGTTGGGAACACTTGCTCGATAGTAGTCGACGAAATCCCGTGTGTAGATGACATAGCTCTGAGGGTGCGTCCGTCGCAAAAAGCCACTGACTAGTCACAACTGAGCTGTGTATTGTGTGTCCCTTTGTGTATGCTTTAAGTCTGACAGCTTTTTTAGCTCACCTTAGCCCCACCTTGGGGATACTTACCTTATATAGAATTATATAAAAAAGAAAAAATACATTTAAGTCTTGTGTGAATGACTTGAGCTTAGGTAAATTTCAAATGTATAATTAAATACATATCATGCCTTTCAGGCCTACACTTAGTAAAGTCTGTATCATTGAAATAGATAGTTTTTGATTTTTACATATGAAAAAATGCTGCAAGTTTATGTTTACAACACAAGAAAATCATTGTTCTAGCCTACAAGCACTGCTCCAGCTCCAGATGTGAGTGCATCACCGTTTGGTCTAGGCAGTTTAGGAGGTCTGGCAGGTTTAGGCAATATAGGTATGGGCTCAGCCAACTTTATGGAAATGCAGCAACGTATGCAACAACAGGTTGGTGCTACATTTTATGATTATCAGTTGAAATATTGTATTTCATAATTTGAAAGATAAAATCCATTTTAGGCCTAAAATAATATATTGTGTGATTGTCTGATTGCCTTTATGACCAACATTCGGAAAATCTTACGTTTGTGAAATTATTTGGCTAAGAGATAAAGCAAAAAATGTGTAACAAATTGCGAGGATGTATTTTTTCCAAAAAAAAACAAAAACAATTCTAGATGGATTTTAGAATAACTTGGCATAAATACGTTGGACATATTAACAATGTGTCACATATGAGTCAGGTCTTCAGATCAAAGGTCACACTTGTTCATTCAAAATCATAATATGAATCATTGAATGTGAATAGATGTCTGGCCTGTTACTGTAGTTCATGGATTATGAAACAAATATGCACAAGAAGCTTAAGTTTGTAGATCAATGGTCAAGGTAACACTTAACTTGGGAAATTTTACAATGAAGTGCATTTATGTTTAGGTCCAGTCAGCAATCTTGTCATTCATTAATAGAATTAAAAATAACTTTGCGTAGATGTGTTGCACATTAAGATGACTTGTGCCATGCAAGAATTAGGTCCCCAGGTCAAAGGTCAACATCTCACATGTACATGTATAAAAAAAAATGGATGTAAAAATTCATGAGTGTTAAATAGATGGTCATTTTTAGCTTGACTTTTTTTAAGCTCACCTGTCACAAAGTGACAGGGTGAGCTTTTGTGATCGCTTTTCGTCCGGCGTCTGGCCATCGTCCGTCCGTAAACTTTTACTTTAAATGACATCTCTTCATAAACCACTACGCCAATTTCATCCAAACTTCACAGGAATGTTCCTTTAGTGGTCACCTTTGAAAATTGTTCAAAGAATTTAATTCCATGCAGAACTCTGGTTGCCATATGGTTGCCATGGCAACCAAAAGAAAAAACTTTAAATACCTTCTTCTAAGAAACCAAAAGAGCTAAGGCTTAGATATTTGGCATGAAACATCTTCTAGTGAGTGTCTACCAAGTTTGTTCAAATAAAAGCCCTGGGGTCAAAATTGGCCCGCCCCAGGGGGTCATTGATTTTCCCTATATGCATATAGTAAAAACTTAAAAAATCTTCTTTTAAAGAACCCAATGAGCTGGAGCTTAGATGTTTAGCATGAAACATCTTCTAATGGGTGTCTACCAAGTTTGTTCAAATAAAAGCCCTTGGGTCAAAATTGGCCGGGCCATTGATTTTCCCTATATGCATATAGTAAAAACTTAAAATATCTTCTTTTAAAGAACCGAAAGAGCTAGAGCTAAGATATTTAGCATGAAACAAACATGTTCAAACATGAGTCCTGGGGTCAAAATTGGCCCCGCCCCGGGGGTCATTCATTTTCCTTATATGTGTATAACAAAAACTTAAAAAATCTTCTTTGAAAAAACTCAAATAGCTAGAGTTAAGATATTAAGCACAAAGCATCTTCTATTGAGTGTCTACAAAGTTTGTTCAAATAAAAGCCCTGAGGTCAAAATTGGCCCCATCCCGGGGGACATTAATTTTCCTAATATGTGTATAGCAAAAACTTAAAAATCTTCTTTGAAAAAACCCGAATAGCTAGAGTTTAGATATTAAGCATGAAACATTTTCTAGTAAGTGTCTACAAAGATTGTTCAAATAAAAGCCCTGGGGTCAAAACTGGCCTTCCCAGGTGTGTCATTGTTTTTATCTATATGTGTAAAGAAAAAACTTGAAAAAATCTTCTTTTAAAAAACCCAACAAGCTAGACCTTAGATGTTTAGCATGAAACATCTTCTAATAGGTTTCTACCAAGTTTGTTCAAATAAAAGCCCTGGGGTTTAAACTGTTGTGAGAACATTTTATCCCTGAAGCCATAACTAACCTGTGCAATCAATTGATTGTATAATTATCGGATAGCGGTATTCATGTACTGATCCTAATCGAGCAAATCCCGATATTTCAATTATAACAGTTTGTTATAACCGAGGAAATTTTCATGTTTTCCGTCATTTGGGGCTTGAAAAATGGTTCGTTATAGTTAAAAATTTGTTATAAGCGAGTCCGTATTAAGCGATGTGATTTAATATAAAATAAAGAAGGAATCGGCTGGGGATGTCAGATTTAGTTCGCTATTAACGATAATTTGTTATAAGCAAGTTCGTTATAAGTGGAGTCAACTGTATATACAAAATATATAGACAAAACATATGTGACAAGACAGACCGATTAAATTTATAAAAAGGAAATTTTAATGTTAGGATTTGTTCAAACATTTCTTTGTTTGCTTTTAGAAAAAGTAAAAAGTCGAGCGTTGCCCCCGCCCGGCGGTGGCTCTTGTTGTGCATAATTTTGTCATTCTAAGATGGTTATGAAATGATTATGAATAAACATACTGCTTATTGACATGCTAAAGTGAGGGTTATGTTAGGGTGATCAGACTTTGACATAGGCATGCTTCACATAGTAAATCAGTACTGTTGTTTAATGTTTCATTTAAACTTTTTGTGCCCCCACTTTAAGGGGTGCATTTAGATTTACCCTTGTCCGTCCTTCCGTCCGTTCTCATTTTGTGCCACACATAGCTCAAATAGTATTGGTCCTAGAGTCCTGAAACTTTACAGGAATGTTGATAAGCATGTGTAGTTGTGCACCTGGGTATTTTTGTGTGGATATATTTAGTATTTTTAGAGTTATTGTCCTTGACTTAGTAAAAATTTGCAATTTTCAACTTGTGTTGCTCATAGCTCAAAAAGTATTTGACCTAGAGTCATGAAACTACAGAAATGTTGATCAGCATGTGTAGTTGTGCACCTAGGTATTTTCATGTATATAATTATGTTCAGTATTTTTAGAGTTGTGCGTAGTTGTGCACCTGGGTATTTTTGTGTGAATATATTTAGTATTTTTAGAGTTATTGCCCTTGACGTAGCAAAAATTTACAATTTCCAGCTTGTGTTCGAGTAGCTCAAAAAGTATTTGAACTAGGGTCATGAAACTTGACAGGAATGTTGATCAGCATATGTAGTTGTGCACCTGGGTATTTTAGTGTGGATTTATTTAGTATTTGTCCTTGACTTATTAAAAATTTGCAATTTTCAACTTGTGTCACATGTAGCTCAAAAAGTATTTAACCTAGAGTCATGAAACTTTTGTCATAACGTGTAGTTGTGCGTCTTATGTTGTGTTATTTGTTCCTTAAGTGCTTTGAGTTAGAATCAACCAACTTTACAGGAATAGTGATCAAAAGCACTGCAAAGCTATGCACTTGGGATTTTTCATGTGGATTTTTATGCTCCCCTAAGGGAGAGCATATAGTAGCCACCTTGTCTGTCTGTCCTTCTGTCCCTCTGTTGTTTTTTTCCGGATTATAACTTTAAAATCTTTGGAGATAATTTGTTTAAACTTCACACAGTGGTAGAGGGCATTGAGGTGGGGTACAGTGTCAAAGAACCATAACTCTATTTTGCACCATTCTTGAATTATCTCCCCTTTTAGAAAAATCTTGTACACTTTGAACTTTGTCCAGAACTTTAGTAATAACTTCATTTACTCCTTTGTATATATTTGTTTTGTTCAAAACAGACAATTATCTTCTTATTGTCTGTACAATGATGTACACTAAAGTAAGAAATAAGATATTCAGAATGACACAATGTACTTTCTTGATAAAATAAAAAAAAGTGCAAGTAATTGTTAGCTAGACTTTTTTTTTTTTTGAAAAAAAAAAGAGTAGATGTATTGTTATAGTCGTGGCGGTGTTGCTTTGCCATTGCCGTCCGCCAACTTGTACCTGGATCATAACTGTTTTAGTTCTTGGTGTATTGTCTTCATACTTGGCCAGAACAATCTTTGGGACAAGACCTTTCCGTAGACCACACTAACCTTGACCTTCATCCACAAATGACCTTGACCTTCAAGGTCAAAAATCCAAATTTTGCTTGTTCTTGCTATTATTGGCTGTAACTTTGTTATTTTGGAATGGATTGTCTTCAAACTTGAACATAATAATCTTCAAGGATATCCCTATAACTAACCAGACAGACCTTGACCTTCACTCATAAAAGACCTTGACTATTTAAATTTTCATTTTTTGGCTATTATTAGCTGTAACTTTGTTATTTTGGAATGGATTGTCTTCAAACTTAAACATAATAATCTTCAAGGATAGCCCTTAAAAGGAACCATACAGACCACCTTGACCTTCACTCATAAATAACATTGACTTTGAAGGTCAAATTATTCAACTTTTCATTTTTTGTCTGTAACCGGCTGTAACTTTGCTATTATTGAATGGATTGACTTCATATTATAACAGAAAATTCTTCAGGACAAGACCTTCATGTTTATCAAACTCAAATTGACTTTGGCTCTTTTATGACCTTGAAGGTTAATTACTGAATTTTCACTGATTTGTGCATTAAATGACCATAAATATTTATTGGTGTGTATGTATATGTGTGTGTATATATATGTATATAATTCTATATATATGTATTATTTATATAAATGTATATACAGTTGACTCTCGGTAACTCGAAATCCAAGGGACTGGGCATTTTACTTCGAGAGAAACGGAATTCGAGTAACGTGGGTCTGCCGCCATTACGTTGACATTCGTACATGTATATACATGTGCCTGATTGAATGTGCAAAGAAGTAGGTTTGTTATTGTTGATAGCGGCAATGCTGCAATGTTTAACCGTTGAAATGAATGTAAATCACTTACAACTACAAATTATAAATAAACAAAAACATATTATTCAAAATTTAATACATGTATATTAATAGTGAAACATAAACACAAACATTCGTAGCAATGACATAAATGCAAGTTTTGTCAATATTCATCAGTAAAGCACATGTTTTTAATAAGCACACATGACAATTCATTACAATAAAAGCACAATAACACATTTATTTCAACAACAATTTATCAAATATTTGAAGTGAATTGATCATTAAATCTTAATTTAGTTATCTGTTGAAACCAATTAAGTCCTG